CCGTGATTTTTTACGTAAAAAATGTAACTTCTCTTCTTAAAATCGCTACGAGCAAGTTTTCAGTCTACTAACTAATTAGTCAACGTGTTTAATTTATGTCAATCATGACAGGTATTGATAATTTTGATTCCCAATATCTCGAGAACCATTACTCGTAACGATTTTTACCAAGTGACATTTTTTACGTAAAAAATGTCGTAAATATATGTTTTTTTACTCGGTAGTTTTATACAGGTACGGACGAAAAGTTATTACTTTTCAAACCAGTTAAAAAATATGTAGGTAATGCCCTCTACAAGTAGGAGTCATATTGACATTAATATCAAATTTCTCATGTCAAAAAACTCCTAGACATCAATTTTCATCAAAATATCGACGTTAGTTCACAAATTATTTGGAAAAAATCGAAATAAAAATGAAACTTCTACACCCTGTATCTCCGAAACTATATACGAACATTTTTACTTAGATTTATCAGCAGAATATGCTGTCGAAGTTTCCGGAAGACAGTTTAGACTACCCTGTATATATGTTCAGCGCGTTTCCAGTCGTGGACTATACGCCTTACGAAAATATTCCTTATGGAGCGCTCACACCCAGTGCTGCCAGGTCATAATATTAAAAATCACCAGATATCTGCTCTAAAAGTTGCTAGATTTGGAAAAAAATCACCAGATTTTAATGTTTTCGCATATAATACAGTAGTTACAGACATTATTTAAAAAAGAACCAAATAAATAGTTTTAAAACACGTTTTATTAAAAAAAAATATTTTTGAAATGCAAAATGCAAATATACTGGTCTCAAAATGGCTTACCCCTATAATAACTTTTTTATTTTTTCAGATAAAAAAACGAGATTTGGTATGTTAGTGTATGACAAAATTAAGATTGGATTAACGTATTCAATTGTTTTTGGTCACTTCCTGTTTCACCGGAAATGACTACAATTTTTGGTTTTTAAATGGCATCCTCGGTATATTTTTACTTTATTCGATAGAAAATGACACTCTGAATAGAATGACATATATATGTCAAGTTTTGACATTCTCGCTTAATAAAAAATCATATTTTAAAACTCAATCTAGAATGCCATGGCTATGTTAAAAACAATAATTCTTAATTAAGGACCTTGGAAAAATAGATTTGATCGTGAAAATGCTCAAATCGTATATTTAATCATATCTCAATTTTTTAAAATGGAACTAGAATGGCTCATTAGCATATTTGGAAAAATCATTTTTTTACGAATAATTTTATACCGCACACTTGGTATTTCGAGTCAAATTTTCTTTACGAACCGCAAGTTATAATTTCAAATAAACCATATGTGAAAATGTCAAAAAGTTGACACATGATATGTAATTCTATTCAGAGTGTTATTTTCTATCGAATGAAGTAAAAAAATGCCGAGGGTGCCATTTAAAATCAAAAGTTGTAGTAATTTCCGGTGAAACAGGAAGTGACCGAAAACAATTGAATGCGTCAATCAATCCTAATTTGTGTCGTATACTAACATACCAAATCTCGTTTTTTTAACTGAAAAAGTAAAAAAGTTATAGAGGTGAACCACTTTTGAGACGCACCCGGTATAGCCATGTAAAAAAGTCAAGTTTCAAGTCAATTCTCAAGTTAATTAATTTTTCTACCTGAAACTTAGTTTAATAGGTATATTTGTTCTATTTTTTACAATAACCATTGTTACGTTTTGAATGTAAACTCATAATATAATAGTGTTTTTTGTTTAATAAAAGCCAGTGTCCAAAAATCACCAGAAAAAAGGCTTTTTCAAAAAATTTTTACCATTTCACCAAGTGGGATCGAAAATCACCAGATCTGGTGAAATTTCACCAGACCTGGCAGCACTGTTCACACCGGCTGCGCCGCGCCGCGCAAAGCATTTTTTTAACATGTACTTTTGAAGTGTATTTTTTTAGCGCGCACAAAAGTATATGTTAAAAAAATTATATGCGCGGCGCGGAGCGGCGCAGCCGTTGTAAACGCACCTTTATGCAACAATTGTCGAGAATTAAATCCTTTATAACTTTGTCGTTTAAATGTGCCACTTATTTTTATTAGAGATGGTCGAAAAGTGGGAAAAATACGTAATGTGCCACTTATTTTTATTAGAGATGGTCGAAAAGTGGAAAAAATACGTTAATGTCAACATACTAATAGTTTTTGACACTATGTTAATTATAATAACAATAAATAATATTATTTTTACAGACTTAATACTTATAGAAAAGTTGCAGAGAATTTAATTCTCTACAAATTTGTTCATAACCTCTTTTGTCTAATAATGCAGAGAAGATGCAAATCGCAAAAAATTTTGTCATCTACATGACAAATAGAAACTATCTGGGTCAAAACTTTCGACTCTCTAATTTTTTCGATTCTTTCGTCAAATTTTAACTAAATTGACTGGGCTACGATTTTGTCATTTTATTTTGTTCTACTTTTATACTACCTCAGGTAAATTGATTCGTTTTAAAAAAAATCTAGTGCAATAATCGTTCATTTATCATCAGTCGTCATTTGTGCGCCGTTATCATGATCTACGTAAAAAAAAACAAAATGCTGGTCAGCTTTTCTTTATAGATATTTCTTTTTTAAATTTTAGATTTAAGATGTGTATAATTATTTTTCATATAAATCTCAGTAGTTTTTAAGGTTTCTGTACAGTTTTTTTTACTATTTAGGTTATTTAATTTTTTCTTTATATGTACATAAACAGCGATATTCTGCATTTATTTAAGAAATACACTATAAATGTGAATTGTTGTTTTATTGCCAACTACCTTTCTTATTTAGATTAACTTATAGTCTAAAGTCATATAATGTAACTATACAGGGTTGTTCACCCCATACGAGACAGAGTATTGTAGCTAAACGATTAGATTTTTGCAATAATTGTAAGTTTTGGGTTGAAGGACTATTAGAGCTACAATTTAAAAATATTTTTATAAGATACAGAGTGTCCCAAATAAATAAAAAATATCAAAGTTGTATTTTTTGAATGGAACACCCTGTATATTATTACATTTTTAGTTTCTACGATTAAAATAAAGGTAAATTTGATTGGTTTATCACACTTAAACCTTACCGTTTTTGAAATATTTTCAATTTTTTGAAATTACAGTAAAAATTTTAAGGCTTCATTTCTCCCAGGGTATCGAAGCTTTTAATACGTTATATTTAATACGTAAATATTTACTAAAGTTTATTTATTGATCAGTTGTTGTGTTGCGATAATAAAAATAATACTACCTCATACAGAGTGTCTAAAAATTTATTTTAAATAATTACTAGCTTTAAACGGCAATAACTTGCTTAATTTTAATGGAACACCCTGTATATTCTAGGAGAATATGATGCACAAATTAATTGTCTATCAAATTGTATTATACTATATTTTACCTATCCCTTCAAGTTTTCATAGAAAATTCATTTTCTTATAATTTACACCTCATTTATTTTTTCGCGGATACCCATGGAATATTGACATTTTAGATTGTTTTTAAAGCAAAAATTGTATAAAATGTACAGATGCTAAAAACGATAATATTACTAGCCCATTTGTATACATAAAGAAAACTATTTAAATCTTTATAAAAGAGTATACCATTAATTAAACGATGTACTTAAACAGCCGTTAAACGGTAGCCTACTAAAATGCCGTTAATAGATATTGTGACGTCGTTCATGTCGGCGGAAAGTAATGCCTAGCCTTAAGCTTTTTGCAAGAGCACCTGTGGGTCAGTGGCTGAGGCTATGCTTCGTAAGCGGATGGTCTGTGGTTCAAATCTCACGCCGACCAGGACTTTTTTATATTTTTTTTGCTTATAGCGTGATCTTATTGCATTGGTTTCACACTTTTTGGTTGGATTGGTTTAGCTATTTGGTGGGGTTGGTTGATTTTTACTAATTTATATTTGTTTTTTATATTTTTTATCAGTGTCGAGGTTAGTTGCGTTGGTTAAGTTGGTTATTTGGTGGGGTGGATAGCGTTGGTTAATCCTTATAAAATTCCTATATTTCATAAAGCCGTCAAGTGCGTCACATCAACGACACATACCTATTAACGGCATTTTAGTAAGCTACCGTTTAACGGCAGTTTAAGTACAGCCTTAATTAAATCTACCACCATTATTTCCGCCCAAATACTAATTAATTACATACTTAATTATTGTGTTAATAAATTATTGTAAAATAAGTAAATGTGAATTTGAATTAGAAATCAATATAGTAATAAGTTATGAAAATGAACGTCTCTGTTATAAATAAGCATTCGTCAAAAAATTAAATACCACACTGTCTAATACACATACAAAATTCAGTTTTTTAGTATTTGGAGCAATTATTATTAATCAAAGCAAACAGTCAATTAATGTAGTTTGAATATTGGAATCGTATTATTTGGTCCTCTTTAATAAATATTTAAACAGATATTTTATAATGAAATAAACCAACTTTATCGACAATATTAGTATCTGTACTCTTCAAAAATTTGTTATCTTTAAAAACAATCTAAAATGTCAATATTCCATGAGTATATTGATAAATGTGGTCTAAATTATAAGAAAATGCATTTCCTACGAAAACTTGAAGGGATAGGTAAAAAATGGTATAATACAGTTTTATAGACAATTAAATTGTGCATCTGATTCTCAACATATAGGGTGTTCCATTTTAATTAAACAAGTTATTGCCGTTTAAAGCTAGTAATTATTTAAAATAAATTTTTAGACACTCTGTTTGAGGTAGTAATATTTTTATTATCGCAACACAATAACTGATGGACCCCTCGGGGTCCATCTGGATCACTTTGTACACACAAGTAAATCTATTTTTTACATTTTTTGGCGAGTTTTAGGAATATGGCAGAAAGTCTACCGAAACCAGTAAATTTTGAAAGTGGTCTAGGAGAAAAAAACCTTTAGGAACCGCTGTCCTCTGGTTTAGTTGGCGAAAGAAAGAGGAGTATAATAAAACACATAATAAAAAAATCGAAGGTATATAATTACACTTTATACAAAATATACACTGAAATATAAATTTGTGCAAAACGTTTTACTCTAATTGGCATAATTGACATAATTTACAGTGCTTTTTAATACACGGCAGTTTTTTTATTATTCGGCATAATCTTAAGTTTTAATCTTTAAATTTAAGAATTAAATTTAATAAATAGAGACTTTAGGCAGGTTACTGGGCTTTTAAAGGCGGAGGCCTGGGTTTGTGCCTCTGACGTAGTTGAGAAGTTCGTCGGAGTCCTCGCAGACGACTGGTTTTTCGTGGTAACAGGCGACGTCATGCCAGGCGATGCCGTCGTTGTATACGTTGTTGAGGATAGACAGGCAGGATTCACTTGTACCTGAAATTAAAGGGAAAAAATAAATAATACTGTTTTTTTTGTTTTCTTAGAGTAAATTTTAAGTTTAATTTTAGAGTAAATTTGGGTAATAACGGATCTCCTATAACAAGGGTGGTACCCTTCCTACGACGCGGAGGCTCCAATGAAAACGACAGTTTGTATTGAAATGCATTTTTATAAGCATATATGTAGGTTAATTCATAGCACTTTTTAAAAAGTGAGTTGTACAGGGTGTCCCCAAAAAAGTTACATACAAGTTACTGAGAGAAAAATAAAGGTGAGTTTTATTAGAGTTTATTATTAATATTATTATTTTATTATTATTAGTTTATATTTATTTTTAGTTTTATTATGACTGAAATGTAAGGTTTTTGACATTTTTAACATTTTCTAAAAATAAAGAACAATTTTTAAATTACAATAAAAGCTACCTAAAATGGAATTTACCCGGTATAGCCTAATATGTAGTTAAATTAACTTGGTCCAAAAAGTTATACAGGGTGAGACAAAATTAATATTGAACAATGGTCACCTTTAAAAGCATGTTACTCTTTTATCTTAAATGGAACACACCCAGTATATTATTCCGATATTCCATGGAGAATTCATGTCTCTTCAAAATACTATTAAGGTTGCCTACCTCTCAAACAAAGATTTTCCTAGATATTTTCATTTACATGATTTGATCTGAGTAGATCTTTATTATTTGATAAAATCTAGGTGGCTGTGATATGTCTGATGTTACTTCAACATAGCTGTCTAATTAGTCCAACAGTAACAGCTAGTTATCATTTTGTGTTAGCTAAAACAAAAAAAATTCTCAGCAATTTGCCGAAAATGCAAACTTATCCTACATCAGAGATAATTGTCATGATTCTATTAGTTGGTGAATGCAGTGTGCATTCACCAATTAATAGAATACTCAAATGCTCCTAATTTTACCTAGACTGGAATTTTTTATGGGGATATGTTAAAGACAGTGTTTACAAAACTCGACCAACTATTGTCGACAACATGAGAAATTAGAGTAGCTGCTTTTGGAGGTAAAACTCCACATATGCCTTTTAAAATGAAAAGATCCTTTTGAATAGACAATCATTTTATGCAGTTAACAGGAAAGGAAGCATTTTGAGCATTTGATTTCGTCTAGCTAATTTTTGTCTCATAATTTTATAAGTTAATATCTATAGTTTTAATTCTGTAATAATTAAAATATGTTTTAAACGTGTATCTTCTTATTATTAACTTTGAGTATTTTCTGTATTTTACTCTACCTCATTTAATTTTTGTTAAATTAACAAATCACATCCACCTAGATTTTTTCAAATAATAAAGATCTACTGACGCAAAATTATAAAAATTAAAATCTAGGACAATCTTTGTCTGAGGGGTAGGCAACATTAATAATATTTTGAAAATATATGAATTCCCCATTGAACACAGGAAATATATACTAGGTGATCCATTTAAAATAAAGGAGTCACTTGCTTTTAAAAGTGACTAATGATCCATATTAATTTTGCCTCATCCTGTATAACTTTTCGCATCACATTTTAATTTGGTTTGACATACAATGGTTATTGTAATTAAATATCAGGCTATACAGGGTAAATTAAAATTTAGGTAGCTGTTATTGTAATTTAAAATTTACTCTTCATTTTCACAAAATGTGAAATATGTCAAAATCCTCACATTTTAGACATATACTTCTTTAATAAAACTCACCTTTATTTTTTTCCTAGAATCTGAAAATCAATTAATATATAGGGGTTTCCATTACAAAAAAACACAACTTTGATATGTAACTTTTTTAACACCCTGTATAACTCTATTTATTTTTATAAAATGTGATTTCAATTAACGGTATGCTTCCAAAATTTAATTTCGATATAAACTACCGTTCTCCTTAGAGTCTCCGCGTCGTCTGAGAGGTGCCACCCTGTGTTTTGAAAAGAATATGCCCAATCTAAATAAAAAATACTTTACTTTTTGCAGTATCATTACTCATTACGCTCATCATGTAATTAATCAAAATCTAATTTTTACATATATTTATGAATAGGGAAATACACTTTTAAGAGGGTGCCCATCAAAATGTGGCTGCAAATAGGGGTTCCACGGTTCAAAGTCGTTCCTACTATTAATTTTATACGGGTCCGGCAACTGTGCGTCGGCCATATGTAGCTCCTATAATAAAAAACTTAGGAATTTTGTATTAAGATCCTAAAGTATGTATTAGGATCTATTTCATGAAAATATTTTAACTTCTACAGGGTGGCTCAAAAAATGAATGGGTCGGGATTATTTTTTTAACTTTGAACACCCTGTATATTACTGTAATTTTGGCTACCTTTCAGATCACTTTACATAATCTTAAGATATTATCAAATATCATCAAAAATCCTATGGGTATTTCGCCACTTGCACCCTAAAAAACTCTAGAAAATAAAATAGTTATTTTTTAAACACCGCTGGCGTTAATCCAACGGAGACCAACTTGTCAGCGGTGGTTTACTAATAAAACAAATTTGCCTAAAGTTGTAAAGGGAAAAAAACATAATTTCATTTTTTTTTAAATTTTCTCTAAAACGGTTTGGAAATTTGGAAAAGTATAAGGTTTTATTCAGAACCTCCCAATTAGTGGAATAAATTAGTGGTTTCAATTATACTTTATCCTTTTTAGTTTACGATCATTCACAATGTCTACAAAACACGATTAAAATTAATAAAATATCCTAGCAACAGCTTGCGGTAATAAGTTGTATCCATAGAGAAAGCCTAATTTAGCTTATAAAACAATAAACTTTTGATTTGTAACCACATTTTCTGTTAACGGATGATAATCAACGGCCAAAATGATATTCCTCGCAAATTTTGAAGTATAATTAGTGGAAAAGTTAAAAGTTTGGTGACTTTTTCTCCTAATTGAAAATTCCTACCACTAATTTTAACGTTCTGAATGCTTACATTCAAAATAGAGGAACAAACTTCTACGCTAATTGAAACCACTAATTTTTTCCACTAATTGCGAGGTTCTGAATGAAGCTTAAAAGGGATTAATAATTTTAGAACAAGCAACATTTTTATGAAGAATGCATTTTTCTCAAAATGTTAATAACAAAAAATTGTTTCCCCTTGTAAAAACAATCCGCGTACATACTGTATATACCCCTTGTCCAAAATTTCAAAAACATGGCATTTCAGATCTTTCAGATATTTAGCTGGGACTAGACTTTTGGCTAACCCGGTATATGTTTTTTTAAATTTAAACCGTACACAGCTCCAACAAGAATGGAAGGTTGTAAAAGTTAATAGGTATTTTAAATAGATTTTTTACCGTTGATGTCAAATTCAGCATTGTCAGGTTGTTTCTGTTTCTTATGCCCGGTAGATGACCAAGGATTGTATCCCCATCCGGCAGGAGTCTGATTGGTGGGGGCCATCTTTTCCCTGTTAGCTGACCAGAACCATCCGAAGATGTTTTTGGGTTCCAAGTCTGGACGATTTTCACATCCTTTGAAGTCGCACAAACGTCCTGAAGTCCAGATGTAGGGAACGTCATCTGAAATTAATAATTGTCTTTAGTATTAGCTCTTTCAATCAATGAGGAGTTAATAATCCCCTCTAAAATAACAAAGATGCAACTATTTTTCGTATGAAGCAGGAACACTGTAATTCTGAAATAATTTAGACAGACGGAGCAGGTGCCTTTATGTACAAATCCAAATTTAAAAAAAAACACCATTTTTTTAGTTTTCCATAAACGTGTAACCGTTGATTGAAGAAATAAGAAGATGTGCATTCTTATGCGCGATTTTTGCGACACAAAACCTGTCCGAGATGTAGCTGGCGTTGCCGGTAGTCGACCTGTCTGAGACTTAGTTTAGCTGCGCGCCGCTGCGCGCTGATTTACAACGCAGCGGAGAAAGAATACTGTACCGTAGTTCTGCTTTCAGTCGACAGAGTGAGTGGTTGGCAAAGACAGTGTTGCCACAACTACGGATTAATCCGTAAATTTACGGAATTTGGGTACAGTAAGTTAATACGGATTTTCAATTATTAAACAAATTAATATAATATTATATGATTAAACAAAGAGTTGGCTTAGAAATTAAGATCGCTGTTACTTCATATGTAAAATATTATGGTAAATATCAATAGTCGCCATTTCCAAGCCAACTAAACGTCTTTTTTTAATCATACGAAATATTCAGTATATACGAGTATAAAAGAATTTTTATTTTGGTTGTTTATTCTATGTTTAAGACGACTACATTTTCAATAGGTGGTCCGAACTGTATTCCGAAAACTTCGGCAGCGTATTCTGCAGATAAAAATAAGTAAAAAAGTTCACATAAATGTATGTTCTAAAATGTTTAGTCTTGGAGATACAGGGTGTAGAAGTTCCATTTTTATTTTCATTTTTTCTAAATAATTCCTGAAGTAATGTCAATATTTGGATGAAAATTGGTGTCTGGGAGTTTGTTGACATGAGAAATTTGATTTTGTTGCCAATATGACTCCTAATAGTAGGGGGCGCCACCTACATGTGTTTTAACTGTTTTCAAGAGTAATAACTTTTCGTCCGTACCTGTATAAAACTGCTGAGTGAAAAAATATAAATTTCCGTGACTTTTTACGTGAAAAATATCTCTTGGTAAAAATCGTTACGAGCAACCGTTCTCAAGATATTTAGAATGGAAATAACCAATACATGTCATTATTGACAAAACTTAACACGTTGAGTAGATAGTTATTTGACTGAAATAATAAATTTGGGAAATTTTCGAAAGTCATAAATTTTCGGCGAAAAAATGATGATAAAACAGTTTCTCTTGAACTTTTGACACAAAAACATATCAAATTTATGATTTCAGTTAAATAATTATTTAGTCAACATGTTTAATTTATGTCAATGATGACAGGTATTGATAATTTCGATTGCAAATATCTCGAGAACCATTACCCGTAGCGGTTTTTATCAAAAGATTTTTTTTAGGTAAAAAAGTCGTAAGTTTATATTTTTTACTCAGTAGTTTTATACAGATACGGACGAAAAGTTATTACTCTTCAAACCAGTTAAAAAAATATGCTGGTGGCGCCCTCTACAAGTAGGAGTCATATTGACATCAAAATCAAATTTCTCATGTCAAAAAACTCCCAGACACCAATTTTCATCCAAATATTGACGTTACATCAGAAATTATTAGGAAAAAATCGAAATAAAAATGAAACTTCTACACCCTATATCTCCGAAACTAAGCATTTTAGGACACACATTTATACGAACTTTTTTACTTACTTTTATCTGCAGAATATGCTGCCGAAGTTTCCGGAATACAGTTCGGACCACCTTGTATAACGCGAATTTTTCATCCAAAGATATTTTCGTCAAACGTATTACAGATATTACATATTTTAATATCGCAACACTGTTTGCTTTCAATTCCACACCTTGTTCGATATGCCTTTGCTAGCCGAATTAGAGGAAATGAGTATTTTATGCGTTGACCGCAAAACGAGTAGAGGCTCCACCGTACAGCACTTAATAGAGGTGGGCCAGTCTGCGATTTTTGTGGAGCTGCTACGCTCTGCGACTGCCCCAATAAAAGCACTGTGACAAGTAGCAGCGATTTTTCGGAGCAATTAACCTATAAATTAAAAATGTTGTTTTATAGGTTAATTGCTCCGAAAAATCGCACTCGGTGTTCGGCACCGTTCGTTGCATTTACTAAAAAAGTACAGGACTATAGGTATGATTATGATAGGCAACATCATCGTTTAGTTTTTATTTATTTATATCGTATGATCGAAAAAAAAACGGCGTCAGCGATAGCTATGAAATGAAGATTGCTAGCATTTTATATGTAAAATTTATGGAGAATGTTATCGATTGTCATTTGCAAGCCAACTGGACGCCGTTTTCTATTTCGATCATACGATAGTAGTGGCGATTTTAACGTCTGTGCAATCGGGGCAGATCGGGGTAAGTTACCGACGGGCCCTAAGCCTCCCGAGCCCTTACGAACAAGATTCGAACTTTTCCGAACTACGGGCCCCTAGAGCTCTTAAAATCGCGGCTGTACGGTACTACTACTACTGTAGGAATATATTTAAGATATTACGTCTATTATGAAAATGAATATATTGATTTTTCTTTTGTCTTAGTTTGATAGATGTTGCTATATTTTGAAGTATATAAAGAAGAATTTGAGTGTTTCTAAGTACCAAGCACTTTGCTATAAATATCTTAAAGAGTCTGTTCATTTTCACAGGGTGGTGGACCATGGTAAAAACTTAATGTTATATTCAAGGCTGTACTTAAACTGCCGTTAAACGGTAGCTTACTAAAATGCCGTTAAAGGTATGACGTCGTTGATGTGACGCACTTGACGACTTGACGGCTTTCTGAAATATACGAATTTTATAAGGACTAACCAACGCTATCCACCCCACCAAATAACCAAGTTAACCAACGCAACTAATCTCGATACTGATAAAAAAATTTAAAAAACAAATATAAATTAGTAAAAACCAACCAACCCCACCAAATAACCAACTAACCAATGAATTAACACCCTCCAAATAACCACGCTCACCAACCCGCCAAATAACTGAACCAATCTAACAAAAAAAGTGAAACCAATGCAATAAGATCACGCTATAAGCAAAAAAAAAAAATAAAAAACTCTTAGTCGGCGTGAGATTTGAACCCCGGACCATTCGCTCCCGAAGCGATAGCCTCAGCCACGGAGCCACAGGTGCTCTTGCAAAATGCTTATGGTTAGGCATTACTTTCCGCCGACATGAACGACGTCACAATATTTATTAACGGCATTTTAGTAGGCTACCGTTTAACGGCTGTTTAAGTACATCGTATATTCAATTCAAAGTCGAAACTTATGGTTGAAACCACTGTCAAAAAATTCTTTATTAGTGACCGGTTTCGGCTATTTAGCCATCATCAGACCTTAAAAATAGATATAAATAATAAAACTTATATGAATGTATAAGATCAAATAAAAGATTTAGGATATACAACAAAACACAGATACAAAATTAACTAACAAATAAACATACTAACAAGTTAAAAATTACCTTTGTCAAAAACATTTGTTTGTGATTAATATATAATACATAAATATCTTATTTAGATTCATGAAAGAAAAAGCGAACGCTGCTACGTTTCCTGTTCCCAAACTCCCAACAGCTTCAGTCCACAGAATATAAACAATATACTACGCTCCAGTCGACTGCGACCTGCGACGACTGTGACTGTGACTGGAACTCTGCGACGACTGTGACTGGAACAGTCTGACCGTCGCCGTCGGGGCTAGGAGCATTTTCAGAATTTACACTATTGCTCCTATTGCTACTCACGAGCGCAGATGTCCTAAACTTGTAAACTGCTCCGAAATGTCACTGCGATTTTCTTGGAACTGGAGCAGTCACATACTGCGACGTTGGTGGAGCTGTGACAAAGTAGCGGACTGCGATTTCATAACCCATCTCTAGCACTTAAGGAGAAATCAAATCAGTCTTGTCACGAATTCGCCCATTAGGTTGCGTATCTTCCCAATTATTTTAATCAACGGTCTAACCTAGCCGTGAATCACCCTGTATACGTAGCTCCGTATTTAGATTTTTAAATCTTATTTAACTTTTTTATATACCACAGCTTATTAGGAGAATAATAATAAATAAATAAATAAATAAATAAATAAACAATGCTTTATTGTACAAAAAGCCAAAACGGCTTCATCGACAAAGCACTCACAAAACAAACAAAAGCACAAAAAAAATACAAACAACAAAAAATACACAAGACAAATAATACAATTCAAATAAATTTAAGTCATTAAAATAACAAAAAGAATATACATGGGCAATTGCAGAACAGTACGCAGTAAATAGATATAATTTTAGAGTTATAAAATGTTAAATATCTACTTTTGACCAGTGTGTGAGATGATCAAAATTTTAAAATTCAAAATTGTTCATAATTAAACTTCAACAAAAAAGTCGTTTACCGTATATAGGGCTCTCTCCAGTAACAAAAATCACATTTTAATTGCATTTAAATAAACAATTAATTTAAAGGGATTCGCTCAAAATAAATGTAGGTATTCAAAACCCAAGTGTAAAAGTTCTTTTGTAGCATCACATATAAACTTGATTGCAACAAATCGTCTCCTGAGTATTTTTAAAACAATAAATTTTATTTTGCAACCAAAGAAGGCATTGTTGTTCTGTTGTCCTAGATTCGTGAGAACTTCAGCTTGCTTCTCATTGATTTATACATTTTCAAACTCCAAAATGCAGCTTTATTGCCTCAGTTAACATGGCACGGTGAGAAACTAATTCTTTAAGGTTTAATTCATGTGGACATCTCGTTGTAAGATCATTGTTTCTTTTCTCAAGAAGCTTTTTTAACTATTTCGAGGTCGAATACATCTGAGACGATGTGTTTTAGTACCAGATTTATGCAATTTTGTAATAGATGTATAGTAATTAGTAATAGATAAAATAATCAATGTATGGTGACAAGTTTTCAAGGATAAC